GATAGAGAATTTGCCTCTGGTCTTTACAACAAAATAGCACAACTTATTGGAGGTAAGGAGGGAGTGTGTTTGTACAGATGCTTGATGTTATTATTTTCTGGATAGGATCATAATGTAGTTATTGACCGGTTAGCTCAATTAATTAGAGCACTGGACTGTTGTGCAGGAGGTCAAGGTAGATGGTTCAAGCCCCGGCTGGACCAACACTCAAGGTCTTAAAATAACTGACGAGAATGCGCTACCTTTCTATAATATCAAGAAATGAATGGACATTCTAGTCTTCTTGGATAAGGATGAATAAACCGTAGGTCCCGTCTCCTGCATCTATTAATGAGTTAATTTGGTTAGGCAGGGGACATTAAAGAACCCACTCACAAGATTACTGTGATGTGGCCTGGCCTGTTTACCGGGAATTGGGGGAGAGGGGGCATCTTCAAAAAAGTTTCCTTTGATTGTTTGCAAACTGCTGATGCAGTCTGGCCAAAGTCCCCCAAAAAGTGTTGTGATGCGCATTTGATCATATCAACATGTTAATTTGCACAATATAAATATTAAATTATTATTATTATTAATTATTATAATATTTTTTTCCTTTTAGGACTGAACACTCCTGTGGAAATGAAGCTAAAGTTGATATCTATTTTCAGACACATGCATTATGACTTACAGCTGACTGCAAAGGTAATCTGAAATATCAGTTGTCAGACTTAAGCACCTTAGCACTAAATGATTTTTTTTGTCATCTTTTTCAGTGCAGGTCCATGAATTATGTTCCTCTCTCCTTTCTTCTCATCCTATGTGCCGTTTTGTTGTTGTCACCCTACACACTTTATCCTGTCTTGCTGTATCGTCTGTGATCGACATCCCTAAACAGGTAACACTGACTTTCTATTTAATCTAATGAATTCTTGAATTATTGTTCAGCAAATACTTAATGAGACTATACAAACGAATCAGGGGAAACACATTATCTCAAAAGAACACAAATTTCTCTTATTTACTTTTACCTAAGATCCTGGAAACATGTAGCAACTAGAGGAGACAATGAAAGCATTTTTTGAGTTTTTTTTTTGCTAGCAGAGTGTTATTCTTTTGAAATGGTGAGTAAAGTATACACGCGTTGAAGACTTGCACAACTAAATAAATGGTGTTCATAAAAATTATTTTTCAGACTGAGTTGTTACTGAAGTACCTAATGCAAGATCCAAGAAAAGTAGTTAAGAACCACACCCTTTCAGATTTAAGGATGCTGGCCAAGGGTGCACCACACATGTGGAGAATCCAGGATATTGAGGTTTATGACCTCTGATCCTCTGCTTAGCTTTACACAAGAAACTTAAGTTGGAATTTGTTAGCTTTGTGCTAATTTGCCAGGCCAAACAGTAATAATTTTAATTGTCAACTCACTCTGATAATTCTCTTTGGTGTGCTGATACCATCATAGAAGTTGACAGTTTCTATTGGAAAAAAATTACTTTTATCAGTACAATTTATGCCACTAGTAATTAATGAAAAATTGATTGCCTTAAAGTTGGGATGAATTTCAATGGAACAAACTTATTACAGTGACAGTGGCAAGACCATAAAGGGGGAAAAAAGATTGAAAAATGTCTATACTTGCAGCTTTCTGGGAGACAATTTGAAGAAAAGCATTGCATTTCTAAATTTTAATGTTAAGGTATCTGTTAACGTTTGTTTCATTTTATATCCAGGCTCTGTCAGAATTTATTCTGAGTAGCTGTTATGATAACCTTACATTTTCTGCATTGAGAACAATGGTAACTCTATCCAGATCAGAAGCTGTAGATCTGCTGAAGAGTGAAAAAGGTGAATTCAGTAACTTAAATATTTCATTTAGTGGAGGTTTAGTGGCCTCATGGTTAGTGCACTGGACTCTAAATCAAGTGGTCCAGGTTCGAGCTCTGACTGGGGACATTGTGTCATGTTCTTAGGCAAGACACTTTATTGCTGTGGGAGGGGGGGGGTAACCCTGCGATGGACTAGCATCCCATCCAGGGTGGAGTAGAAATACTCCTAGTCGCTTCATGCTACAGAAACCAGAGTTTAGCACGGGCCAGATGGGCCACTTGACTTAATATATACATGAGAGTAAATTTAAATATTATTTTCATCTAAGCTTTGATTTTGATAATTCAACAAGACTAGTATGTTATAACTATAGATTAGAGAATAAAGGAAATGATCACCAGTTAAAGAGCTCTTGATTGTTAAACAAATTCTCCTTGTCAGCACCTTAGGAAATGTATAGAGAACAGTATGGAGAATATGAATACTGATGTTAGGGTGTAAAGGGCTCTCAGACCTCCAAATACACTACAATAACACAAATTGAACTTAGTAATTCTCTGAGAGCCTTAGCAAACTTCACTAAACACATGTCTAAAACGTTTTCTTCTGCACGAACTGCCTGCTCAACCAATTGCAAACTGTCTTATAAAAAAGGATATTTGTATACTAGGTAATCACATGATTTCGAGTGCAGTTTGGAATAAATAAGCGTGAGTAAATTTTTTCAAAGATTAACAAAATTGCATGAGCCCTTAGGGCAAGTGCAATTTGAAAAAATTTACAATTAGTGCTTATTTATGTATCAATAATATACATGAAATAATATACATAATATACATCATTATTTATTC